GCAGAGCAGCCCCTCCGGCCGCGGCCGCCCACCGGCCCCCGGCCCGGCTCTATGGACAGGAGCTCGCTGCTGCAGCTCATCCAGGAGCAGGTGCGTGCGTGCGTGCGGTGCCCGAGTCCCCGGTGCCCCCGCCCCTCTATGCGCGACCTTGGTTGGCCCTGTGCCTGGGACCCCAGGGGAGGGCGGTGGGCAGCGGGACTGGAAAGGGCGCCATGCTGTATCCCATGCAGACTCCTCTGGGCAGGAGGGTAAGAACGAGGGAGGAGATCTTTGGTGCCCCTTGGGACGGCTGGGGCCTCTGGGCCAAGGGTGCCTGCTTTCACGTTTGCCTGGCCCAGCCCCCTGGATGAGGGACTGAATCCGAGCTCAGGCTTCTGCCGGCCGGCCTTCCAACCTCCAGCAGTTGGACCCTGAGAACACCGGCTTCATTGGCGCTGATACTTTCGCTGGCCTGGTACACAGCCATGAGCTGCCTCTGGACCCTGCCAAGCTGGACATGCTGGTGGCCTTGGCCCAGAGCAATGAGCGGGGCCAAGTTTGCTATCAGGAGCTGGTGGACCTGGTCAGTGTCACAGGGGAAAGTGAGAGGGGGTAGTTTTGCAGCACAACACCTGGGTGGAGAGGGTGGGCAGGTTTCCACTCATGTCCCTCCACACCCCTGGGGAAGTGTGCGGTTGTAGGGGCTGGATGGCATGGCCACGAGGGGTCGTTGGTTCCCAGGCCTAGGCTCAACTCCGCCCCTAGGTCAGCAGCAAGCGCTCCAGCAGCTTCAAGCGGGCCATTGCCAATGGCCAGCGGGCTCTGCCTCGGGACGGGCTGCCGGATGAGCCTGGCCTGGGCGTCTACAAGCGGTTCGTGCGCTACGTGGCCTACGAGATCCTCCCCTGTGAGGTGGACCGCCGCTGGTACTTCTACCGGCACCGCAGCTGCCCACCCCCTGTGTTCATGGTCTCAGTCACCCTCGCCCAGGTGAGTGCCGCCTGCGCCCCGGCCACCCCCACACCTGGCTTTGCCTCGACTGACCCACATTTCCCCAGATCATCGTGTTCCTGTGTTATGGTGCGAGGCTCAACAAGTGGGTGCTGCAGACCTACCATCCCGAGTACATGAAGAGTCCCCTGGTCTATCACCCTGGGCACCGCGCCCGAGCCTGGCGCTTCCTCACATACATGTTCATGCACGTTGGGTGAGTGATGATAGCTCCACAGCCGGACTGGTCCAGAGGCTGGGTCTGCACCCTGCTGTGAACGTGAGGGAGGCTGGGACACTGCCCCTCACCCCGCCCCTCAGGTCCATACCCCGCCCCCTCAGACACACCCTTCAGGTCTATGCTCCGCCCTCATGCCCCGCCCCGCTGCTACAGCCTGGAGCAGCTGGGGTTCAACGCACTCCTGCAGCTGATGATCGGGGTACCCCTAGAGATGGTGCACGGCCTGCTCCGAATCAGCCTGCTCTATTTGGCCGGCGTGTTGGCAGGTGAGGCAGGTGTGCGCCCCGCTCACTCCTTCCCTCCACCCTACCCCATGCCGGCTGTCGGTCCCTGCCCTCACTGTTCCCTCTGCTCTCATACAGGCTCCCTGACTGTCTCCATCACCGATATGCGGGCTCCTGTGGTGGGAGGCTCTGGCGGGGTCTATGCCCTCTGCTCGGCACACCTGGCCAATGTTGTCATGGTAATGGAGCTGCCAGGCTGGGTGGGGGTGCTGTGTGGGCATTGTGGGGGGGGGGGCCAGGCCTTCCTCACAGCTCTGTCTGCCCCACCAGAACTGGGCCGGGATGCGGTGTCCCTACAAACTTCTGAGGATGGTGCTGGCCTTAGTGTGCAGTGAGTAGGGGGCCGGGCGCGGTCGGGCGGGGACCCCATCCCGCGGCCTGGGCGCTTCCCATAGTGCCTCCCACTTCCTCTGCAGTGAGTTCTGAGGTGGGCCGGGCCGTGTGGCTACGTTTCTCCCCACCACTGCCAGCCTCAGGCCCACAGCCCAGCTTCATGGCGCACCTGGCAGGTGCGGTGGTGGGCGTGAGCATGGGCCTGACTATCCTGCGGAGCTACGAGGAGCGCCTAGGGGACCAGTGTGGCTGGTGGGTGGTGCTCCTCGCCTACGGCACCTTCTTGATCTTTGCCATCTTCTGGAATATCTTCGCCTACGACTTACTGGGCGCCCACGTGCCCTCGCCACCTTGATGGGCCAGGTGAAGGTTTTGGATGCGGGCACTGCTCTGCTGGGTAGGGCCAAGGCGTGGGGTGCGGCTGCCAGCGGGCTGCATGTGCACTCTCTGGAAATGTACATATGAAAGCAATTTCTCCGCTTGGGGGGAGGTTTACCCCATGACCCTACCAAGCCCGGGCAAGCCTTACACCAGCCTGACTGCCCCCTCCCAGGCCTAAGGAGGTGGGGCTGGAATCGAGGTGTCCCGAGTGAGGCCCAGAGAAAAGTCTTGCTCCCCACTCCATGATTTGCAGTCTGAGCCTTTTTGGAGAATGAATAAATATTTTACACAAGATCTGGTGTCCACCTGGTTGTCCGCGCGGCTTCCTGCCTTGGTAGCTGCTAGGCAGGGAATGTGGGACCATACAGTGAGAAGGATGTGGTATGTATCACCTGGGGAGAAAGTTGTGGTCTAGTAGGCAGGTGTGTGCTCACCATGCATTTATTGAGATCCGATGGTACTGGTCTAGATCGCTATCCAGTCATCCCATTACCCACGTTCCCAAGTCAGAGGTGCAGGCCCTCCCACTAACCAGGCCAGTCGGTGTGGCTCGGTGGCATTTACGCAGAGGGCCGAGGCTGGGCAGCAGGTCTGGGCACAGTGCTGTCTTCACACGGTGTGTGATCCAAGGCCCTGAGGAATGGGCTGGTGAGCAGCAGAGGGAGTTTGGGCCCAGAAGCCTTCTCTAGGCATCACCAGTTGGGCCCTGGACGCCCTCCTGCCCCTGATATCCCCCTACCCTGGCTCAGAGGTGGGGCATACTCTTGCACCTGTCCCAGTTAGTGCCTTGGTGTCCAGAAAGAGACCTACACAAGGATGCCCCGCCCCAGTGAGACCCGCCCTTCAATGTAGCCCCGCCCCGCTGAGGTCACGCCTCCACACCAGAATCCTCACCGCAAGCCTCTGGCCAGCAGCCGCTGCAGCACGTCTCCCGTCTCGTGCTTCACTGCCCGGTCCCCGGTGGTCGCGAGCACACTTCTCTCGGTATTTGAGAGAGGGAGCTGACGAAGCTTCTCTGCTCCAAGCCCCCTACACCTGTCATCGATCTGGCCTCCAGCCAGGTCTGAGGATCCGCGCGCGCCCACAGCTCCCCGTGACACGACAGGATGGCGGGCCTGGGGCTTAGTCTCAGCCTCGTAGCTCATCGGTGCCCGCCATATTCGCGAGACCTCCCCGGAGGGGGCGGGGCATCTTCCGGTGCAGGCGGGACCAGCGGCTGGAGGCGGTGCTCTTCTGGGACCGAGGGCTGGGCGGGGTGTCGCCGAATGCCGGGGCGGATGCAGCCGAACCCTGTCGGGAGCGGGCCTCAAGAGGAGCAGCGTAAAGTCGGGGAGGCGGACCACAGAGAATAGGACCAGTTTGTAGCTCTGTTGCTGCGCTACCCGCCCGGTCACATAGGCCCGGGGACCCACGCACGGCCACGCCCCCCTCACGTTTCGCTCTTCGGCTCCGCCCCGCGCAGCCGGAAGTTCCGGTGGGCTATAGCTCTACCGGGCCCGAGCGGATCTCGGGCTCCGGCTGCGGGTCTGCCTTCGAGTGCGGGAACGTCCGGGCGCGAAGCCCGAAAGCAGAGCCCAGGCCGTCCCGCGCGGCGCCATGAAAGGCAAGGAGGAGAAGGAGGGCGGCGCGCGGCTGGGCGCTGGCGGCGGGAGCCCCGAGAAGAGCCCGAGCGCGCAAGAGCTCAAGGAGCAGGGCAACCGGCTTTTCGTGGGTCGCAAGTACCCAGAGGCGGCGGCCTGCTACGGGCGCGCCATCGTGAGTGCGCGGGGCGGGGAGGGGGCGGGACCCTGGCGCTCTGCCCCAGCGCCCCTTCAGTAAGAGGGGCCTCATTCGGTGGAGTTGTGTCTTAAGGGGGCCACGGCTTCGAGGCTCAGGGTTGGCTGCCGGATAAGGGGGGGTGAGGTGCATGGTCGGTATACACGATCAAGGAGTCAGGGCCTGAAGTCGGGGATCTTCACACAGGTCCAGGGAGGTGCTTCGCCAGGCAGAACTCCATACTCCGGAAGCTGTGGCACTCCTTGGCTTTTAACTACTGAATCTTTACTGAATTAAGTTCAAAGCTAGGACAGAGCCTGGGACGTTGCAGTGCCAGCGTCCCCAGACCCTCACTCTGGCTGACCTGGTTTGGTCCCTAGACCCGGAACCCGCTGGTGGCAGTGTACTACACCAACCGGGCACTCTGCTATCTGAAGATGCAGCAGCATGAGCAGGCCCTAGCCGACTGCCGGCGTGCCCTGGAGCTGGACGGCCAGTCTGTAAAGGCGCACTTTTTTCTGGGGCAGTGCCAGCTTGAGATGGAGAGCTATGACGAGGCCATTGCCAACCTGCAGCGAGGTGGGCTGAGGACACAAAGGGCAGAGAGGGATTAGCCTGGGGCTGGCGAGCAAGTGACGAGAGCTGCTTTTCCTAGCATACAACCTGGCCAAGGAGCAGCGGCTCAATTTTGGTGATGACATCCCCAGTGCATTGCGCATTGCCAAGAAGAAGAGGTGGAATAGCATCGAGGAGAGACGGATCCACCAGGAGAGTGAGCTGCATGCTTACCTCACAAGGCTCATCCTGGCTGAGCGGGAGAGGTAGGCTGTGCGAGATTGCTTGCCTCCATCCCCAATCACTCACTCTTTGCTTGGGTCTTAATCACAAGTGTTTATTGGAGAACAAGGATATGGGGTCCTAAGTGTTTGTCCTGAGGCTGGAGTGGGGTCCCACAGCTTCTGGTCAGCCCCATCTGACAAGCTCCTTTCCCTCAGGGAGCTGGAAGTGTGTCAGCGGAATCTTGAAGGTGATAAGGATGATAGCCATGTCCGGGCTCAGCAAGCCTGCATTGAGGCCAAGCACGTGAGCACCTAAGCCAACATCGAGCTGTGCCTGTGTGTGATTGCACTTGGGGAAATGTCTGGCCACCTCAGTCAACAATGGGTGATGTGTGTGCCTGCCCAAGGGGACAGGTTGGGTGTGTGGCCTTCCAGTCTAGTTGTTTGTTCCTATGCAGGACAAATACTTAGCCGACATGGATGAGCTTTTCTCACAGGTGGATGAGAAGAGAAAGGTGAGGAACCTGGCTGTCCTGGGGATGTGGGTGCTTCCCTTCCTGTCCCTGACCTTCCCTCTGTGCTACAGAAGCGAGACATCCCTGACTACCTGTGCGGTAAAATCAGCTTTGAATTGATGCGGGAACCGTGTATCACACCCAGCGGTATCACTTATGACCGCAAGGACATCGAAGAGCACCTGCAGGTGAGATTGAGGATGGCGGGGACAGGTCTACTCAGCCCTACACCCCACAAACGCCCTAATTCTGCTGTTCCTGCAGCGTGTGGGTCACTTTGACCCCGTGACGAGGAGCCCACTTACCCAGGAACAGCTCATCCCCAACCTGGCCATGAAGGAGGTCATTGATGCATTCATCTCTGAGAATGGCTGGGTGGAGGACTACTGAGGTTGCAATCGGAGAACCACTGGCCTTGCCTGCCCAGGGACAGCAGCCTCAGCTCTTGTACATAGTTTGTGTCCCCAGATCCTTTCTCCATGCCCCACTCTGTTCCATTGTTCTGCTGTTGGGTTCTGGACTGCTCCCACTCAGCGTGGCCCTGGCTGGGTCATGAGCCTCCTAAATATTCCCTCCTAGGCTTAAAACAGCAGTGAGGGGCGGAGGCTTGGGGCTGACCCTGCTGCCACTGCCCCTATAATAAATCTATGAGCACTTCCCCGGGGTGTGCACATGTGTGGAGGGGCTGGGTCTACAGCCTCTGCTACCCCAGGAAAGTAGAGATGAAGACACTGGTTTCCAGGTTGAGGGTTGCATGCCACCAGCGGTCAGGGAAATACAGCATCTGGTGGGAAGAGAGGGCAGGGGTTAGTGGAGAAGCACATGGCTTTCCCTGTTAACCCAATCCAGCTCACCACAGACCTCCCCAGGGTGGATGGTACACTCCAGGGGCCGCTCAGAGGCCTGGAGGGTAGGGTACATGTCCTGGAGCCAGGCCAGCGTGGTCTTGTTGGGATGAAACTCAGGTGTCTTCTCAGGGGGGTACAGGAACCAGCGCTAGGGGTAGGAGCAGCAAGGTCATATTCAGACCAAGGTCACCATGCCCCCCATCCTCAACTCCCAGCCTAAGCTGACCTTTCGGCCATAGATCACTTCTGAGAACCCAGGTCCATGCCAGTGGAAGGGCACACCGGAACCAGCTCCTGCAGTGTCAGAAGCACTGGTGACCACACCTGTCCCCCGTCCCCACACATAAATCCCTGGCCCCATGGGATGCCTACCTGCAATTCCAAAGCTGTAAGCAGGGGTGGTGCCCAACAAGCCAAAGGGGGGTGGGGAGTAGTGGCGGAAGAGAGGTGCCCATTCAGTGAAATTGTTGTCCCCGAAGAAGTACAGCGTATCTGACAACCGAAGGGATACAAAGGGGCTGGAGTCTTGGCACTAAGGCCTTCTAAGTGTCCCGGACTTCACCACCACCCGGGCAGGGCTCACCATTGCCCAGGGAGGATGGGTCCTGGGGGCGCAGCAGCTGCTCCACATAATCTTGTAAGGGCAGGTCCACTGCAAAAGAAGGATTATCAGGACTAGCTGGTCCTGCCTCCAGCTGGCACTGCAAGATGAGGCAGCTCACCTTTCTGGTAGGAGTAGGTGTTGGCTGTGCTCAGCCGGACTACCCTGTCCCCAAACAAAGCCAGCAATCTTTCGCGGGAGCACAGGGTCTGGAACTTCTGTGGGGCGGGGAGAGAGCTCAGCAGCCAGGCCTAGCATCAAACTGCCAAAGGGGACAATGAGAGCACTCACCGCGTTGTCCGTGAGTCCCTGCAAGATGACAGGTCTGAAGAAGGCGTAGCTAGAAAGAAAACCAAATCGGGTCTGGGTCAGCTCCAACGAGAGCGTGGGAGGTGGTGCTGGGAGGGAAGGGGCCGGGTGCGGGCACGCCACCAGCGGTTAACGGAGATTGGAGCTCAGGCACTGGCTCAGCTGCAGACCGAACACGTACCGCTGCACGAATTCGGCATAGGTGAGGTCGGCGCGGCGCTCCACGGTGCAGCGCTCCTCCTCGGCCACGGCCGACGGCGGCTCCGGCCCGCCCAGCTGCCTGCAGACAAGGCCGAGTCAGGCCCTCCACTGCCCGCTGGTGCCCACCGCCCCACCCCGCGCTCCGCCGCTCACCAACCCCCGTCGGCCGCCTGCCCGAAGCCAGGTCTTCCCAGGTCCGTCAGTGTCCAAAGCGCCAGAAGCAGCACACGGCTTGCCTCTCGCCCCATGACGTTCCGGCGACTATCGGCGTCCGGCCCGCCACCGCACGGCCTGCCGGGAAGCCGGCTCTGCAGCACGCAAGCCCACTATTGGCTGAGAGACTTGTGGCAACCCGTGTGCGCTGCACGGCTCCCGGAAGTTTCCGCCCCCCCCTCCCAGGAGGCGGGCAAAGCCTCCGAGAGCCGCTACTTGCACCAGCACCAGTCGGTTACCCAGGCGACATGCCCCACCCCCCACCCCCCGACATCCCCAGCCCGCAGGAGTTGGCAGGCTAACGGGCGGCTCAGTGGCGCGTTTGGGCAACAGGGAGCCCAGACAGTCTTATTTGCTTTATTAAGGTTAAGTCCCAGCCCCTTCCTGGGCACAAAGTCTAAGCAGGGAGCATCATTCCACGCAGGCGATTCCCCAAAGTCGGCTTCAGGAGTACTCGCAGAGGTGGCCGCAGCCGGCGGGACAGTGGGAGCTGCCCTCCAGCCACTTCATGATATGCTGCAGGTGACCTCCATGGCTGCAGCCCTGGCACCAGACGAACAAGCCCTTGACTACATGATGGCAGACAGCACACATGCTGGCACAGCGGTGGCACCTAGGGACAGGAGGCTCGCTCAGTGGAGTTGGAGAATTACCAGGGCCCACCTCACACTTGCTGCCCACCTGCTGCACCGCAGCCCCACCTGCCACAGACCCAGCCCCGGCCACTCATAGGCCGCTTGCAGTGACTGCAGTTGACATGAAGGGAGGTGGAGGCCTGGTTGAGACAGCTGATGGCTCGACTAGTGCTTAGTTTGACCACTTCATTGGACACATTCCAGAGGCGGAAGCGCTGCAGCAAGTCAATGTAGGACGTGTACCAGTGCTCCTGGCAGGTGGGGAGAGGCTGGAGGTCAGGACTTTAAAAATGCCCCGGAGTGCCGGCAGGGTGAGGTGGTAGGTGAATACCTGGGCCTGCTCGTCGATGTCCTTGCGCACACGCTCCCCCAGAACAATGAGTACCGACACAGCCATCTGCACATCGCCCTGCTCAGCATAAAAGTGCAGCATGTCACGCACCAGGCTGCTGAAGAAGTCAGGCGGCAGGCGGTTGTCATAGAGGGCATGAGAGACTGAGATGAGTGAGAACGAAGAGTCCACTGGTGCCAATGATGCCGCATCTGCCTCACTGCCACTCACGTGTGGCGAGTCAGCCTTGTCTTGCAAGTGCTCAGGTCCTGGAGGTGTGTCCACGATCTCATGGCGCAGTGGGAAGGCCTCCTGGGGCAGCACGTATTCCGGCTCCTCAGCTACCCCGCATGGAACAAAGTCAGAGGGTCATCCCAGCCCCCGCTGCACCCCAGGTTCATGGCTCTAGGCTTGCCTCTGTTAGGGCCTCTTTCCCACCCCACTCAAGACGCACTCCCAGGTCCAGGCTCTGCCCACAGCCTCACCTCTCAGTCTAGCCCCACCTTTACCCTACCTCTGGGTCCTGCCCACAGCCCTGTGCCCCCTCCTCTTCCTCCACCCTACTCACGGTGTGTGTGGTCTGGGTCTAGAAGGTAGAGTTCCTCCTCGTCACCCTCCACATCACCCAGTAGGTAGTCAGCCGGAACATCGCTGCCCTCGGTCTCCTCATTGTCTGCCCAAGGTGGGGAGGGAGCAGCATTGGAGGGCGGTCCTCAGTAGACTACCTCGCCCTGCCCAGGTCAGCGCCCTCACCCCTACCCTCGTTGGTGATAAGTGTGGCCGAGGAGTCTAGCAGAACAGTGTCACTCCGAGCGTCGCCCTTGCTGCGGTCCAACCAGGTCTCATTACCAAGTCCAGGGGCCATTTCCTTTAGGTTGAAGCTGGAGGCAGGGGGAGTCGCTCGTGGTGGGCAGGGCCTGTACAGTTCAGGCCCATCCCACCCACTGGAAGTATCTACCCCCACCATTACCTGTTCATAAGTGGCAGGCCACAGGTGCTCCCCTTCCCCACGCTATGGTTAAGGTTAGTGCAGGACACCAGGCCCGGGCTGCAGTAGATGATCCGCAGCATCGTCCATGTCTGAGCCACCTGCGGGTGGGCACCAGTCACCCGCAGAGCCCTAAGCACAGCTTCCCTGTTCAAACCCCCAGAACCCAAACTGTCCATGTTAAGCTGCCTGGGGAAAAGAGGAATCTTGTCCACAGGGCAGCAGAGGGGGATGGGAGCCTGAATTCATGATTACCCTATTTACCAGGTCCCTCACCTGGTTGCGGCCCAGCTCCCGAGCCACCTTGGCATTGTGGTCACAGAGTTCAGCCAGCGGCCGGCCAGTCAGGGCATACCGCTGGGCTGTGTCCACAAACCAGCTTATACCACTGCCTGAAGCGTCCGTCTCGAAGACACTGAGGGCGCTGGAGGCCAGTCCTGCAAAGGGCTCAGTGGAGTCTGTCTTACGCTTGAAAAAAATAGGGTGGCGCCGGTCACCTGCGTAGGGCTTGCGTCCCGACTCAGAGGCAACCAAACTCTCCTTGGCAGCAAAGGCCAAGTCTCCAAAGAGGCCATAGCAGAGGCCCTCAGGGTTGGCACGCTCAACAGGCTGGCTGGCATCTCGGAAAAGGTGCTGGCACAGTGTGCTGTCCTTGGAGCCGGACAGTAGGAAGGATGGGTCATGTGGGTGGCGCCAGGCAATGCCCGTGGTGACGTCCCGGTGTTCCTCGAACATGGCGGCTGGCACAAAGGGCCGGCGTACGTCCCACACATAGATGTTGTGGTCTACCATCATAGAGCAGGTGGCCAGGTGATGGCGGCACTCAGGCCGCCACTTGACTCGGGCTACTGAAGCGATGGTCTGCACACAGTGCACCTCCTTGGCTCGGGGTGTGGTCACGTCCCAGACCTTCACCATCTTGTCCCGTCCGCCAGTGGCCAGCCAGCCCCTGAAGGAGTCCCATCAACACCTTAACATCCTCTCTTGTGGACCTGACTCCCTCTGTATCCCACATCTGAGAACTCTACATCCTGTTCGTCTCCCCAGTGCCCCACCCCTGTACCACACCTGCCCTCTGGTGAGCCCTCCTCCAATACCACACCTGTCATCAGGTGCCCCACTCTACTCCACACCTGTCCTCGGGGTGCCAGTCACAGCAGAAGACAGGTCCATTGTGGGCAGTGAACATCCTCTCACAGCGGTCAGGTCGCCGGATGTCCCAGAGTTGCACATTGCCATTCTCGAAGGTGGAGGCAAAGGTGAAGTAGTCCTTGATGCTGAACTGCACATCTCGGACACTCTCAGACTGGCCTGTGGGGGGACCAGCCGTTAAGGGGAGCAGGAGTTGGTGGGCAGCCAGACATTGCCTGGAGGAAAGGGACTTCAGCCAAGCCTGGGAATGACTGAGGACCCATTTTCCACAGCCCAGGGAGTGGAGTGGATACCTCCAAACACTGCTTGGGGAGAAGGCTCATGTGGCAAAATGACGGCCCAGGCAAGATGTAGACACTGGACTCATGACCTGCAAGAATGCTGCCAAGACCTCAGCACCCAGTCCCTCACACTTCAACACCTCATTCTGCCCCAGAGGTCTAGGTTCTCCTCCTAGCTCTAGCTCATGATGAACCCCAACTCCAGAAAGCCCTCAATGTGCATCTGAGGGCATGCATGTGGCACTCTTGGCCCCTCACCTGAGAATGTGCTGACAGAGTCCTTCCTGCGCAGGTCAAAGCACTTCATGAAGCCATCCTGGGAGCCGCTGAGCAGCATGTAGGACTCCGTGGGGTGGAAGCAGACCTTGTTGACTGTGCGCTTGTGCTCCGTGAACAGCTGGTCCTGCTTGTTGCGAGAGGGTCGGCCCAGGTTCCAAGTGACCACCACACCATTAGTGGCTGCCGTAGCCAGGAGGTTCTCATCCATCTGGTGCCAGACCACGTCTGCACAGCTCAGGTTGAGCGAGGGCTTGCGGCCCACACGCAGGTTCAGCTTCTCTACGAACTGCTCTTCCTCAATGGCGTAGACTTTGAAGATGCTGCGGCCAGCTACCACCACCTGAGCAGCGTCCCGGCACACGCTGATGGCATTGGCCGGCGCGTCCAGGTGGCAGTGCATAGTGCGGCCTGTCAGCACGCTGCCACCCGTGGTTACACGGGACATCTTCTCCATGGCTGCAATGCCCGAGTGGGTATGCTGGTTAGACTTAAGATAGCTGGTTCGGGGCTGTCCACACGTACTCAGAGTCCAACAGGCAAGTTCAAATTCAAGTGTAGTTGGTCTAGCCCATCACTCAGCTACCTGATGCCATAGAGTCCCTAGGGCTAGCCTGTCCATGTATGACATCTGGGGAGCCGCAACCAGCTCAGTCCTGGTTTTTAGGCCACTTCTCTAGTCCGCACCAGTCAAGCTGTGGGGACACTGACCTGACCCCTCAGTCAGTTAAAACCCAGCAGTCTGTGCCGCACCGCTGGGCAGGGAAATGGAGTGGCTCCCGCGTCTACACTGAGGCGGAGGAGCAACAAGTGGGGAATGGCAGAAGGATTAGAGGAGCCCTAAAGACCCAGGCGACAGAGGCACTGAAGGAACTCGAGGTACGAGCGGTTTCAGGAGCGTGAGGACTCTGGAGCGCTGGCGGGACGGAAGGCAGAAGAAACGCGGGCGGCGCAGAGGTTCCGACGATGCGAGGGAGGGGGGACAGTGAAACTGGACCCAGAGCATCCGGGAAAGCCTTAATCTCCGCTGGTCCATCAAGCCATTTACTAAAAGAAGGCTCCGAATCACCGCACCGGAAGTAGTCCATGTGTTTCCCCACCCTCGCCGGAAGTGGTCCGTTGCTCGCGTGCCCCGTCAGAAGCAAAAGGGGATTGTCGCCAACACCACAAAAGTTCCGGTTGTGCTGCTCTCTTGGGGAGCACATATGCTTAAACGGTACAGAGAAGATTAGCATGGCCCCTGTACAAGAATGACACGCAAATCCGTGTACCGTTCCATACTTTTTTTAGATACTAACCTTTTAAATGGATGCCTTTTAGGGAGCTCTAATGGCCTAGTTGTAAGAAACTGCAGTGCAATATCGAAGGCAAGCGATTCGAATCGAACAGCAGCTCTGCGGGAGAAGAATGCGCACTGTCCTCCCATGCGATTAACTGCCTGCCTCAGAAAACGTGCTGTAGGGTCGGTTCCGACTTGATTGTACTCTCAACAACCACAGCCTTTTAAAATAATGCATTTTTAGTAAGAAAGCTACCATTTAATAATGAATGTTAGCAGTTGATTGACCTAATATTTGTAAATGGTCTTTTTAGGCAGGAAAAATTATGTAAGGCAGTGTTTGAAATTAGGGGAAGGGAATTTTTTTTTAACTGTATAATGACGGCACATAACAACAACAATAATGCCCCTCAAGTTATGGCAATGTACCTTGCTTGTGCTGCCGAATTTCCAAAGTGTACCATTTTTTAAAACTGTGCTTCAACTAAATAGAAAATAGTTATATTACTGATTTGAAACTTTGCCATTCATGCTGCTGTGCACATTAGGCTAAGTATTCCACTTGGAAAGCATGAGTGTCTAGCCCTTTGGTATTTGCCATTTCTGAGAAATTTATTGGCAGTTCAGTATTAGTTTCTTTAACTATCAGCTTATTTTTTATTTTTTTTTTGTTTGTTTGTTTTTATTTTTGTGTGTGAGTGTACCGTCAAATCAGATCTGACTGGTACAGGAGGAGATTGTCCCTCCTGTTCCCGGCAGAGCATCTGGTGGATTCGAACCGTGTGCCTCTGGGATTGTAGTTGCAGCTCCTTGCCACTAGGCCACCAGAGCTCCCCAATCAGCTTATTTTTTAAAGTATACCTTTTGAAATAATTAATGATTTGTTTGGCATTATAGGGAACAAAATGGTGCTAAGCATTTTTAAATGGTTACATGGGCTGACTGTAAGTCTTCATTTAATGATTTGTATTAAGAGCATAGAATGGATGTGAGACCCATGGTAGAGAGGAATGGGTTTGGCCAAGTAGATCTTTGATGGCCATAAGCTATCATTTAGTTGGAAGCTTTTGAAGAAAAAGTGAAAAGATCATTCTGTTGCATTCCCCTATATGATTTTAAGAGAATAACAAATCTCAAACCCTACATATGGCTTGTATTGAACGTTACTTTTGTATTAAAGATTATTAAACATAGGGTGCAGTTATGGAAGCAGCCCTTGCAGTGGCGGTTTGGGTGTCCTAGCCTTAGTGAAGAGCTGTCTGGATGCCCCAGTTTTGCCTCAGCTTATTTGTTTTAACTCTGTCATTTATACCAGTAAGAAGCCCTACTGACATAGTAGATTAAGAATGGAATTGCTAGCCAAAAAGATGATATTTTCTCAAAGATGACAGCTTTGGAGACCCTTTGGGTCAACTCTACCCTGTCTAGTAGCATACCTGAGTTGGAATTCTCTGAGAAGAATGTCTATTTGAGCTTTATTGACTATGTAAAGGCATTTGACTATGTGGGTCATAGCAAATTATGATGAACATTGGGAAGAATGGGAATCCCAGAAATCTTAATTATGTTCATACAAAACCTATATACCTAGAGCAAGAAGTTGCTCTATACCTAGAGCAAGAAGTTGTTGTCCAAACAGAGCAAAGGAACATTGCATGGTTTAAAATTAAGAAATATGTGCACCAGGCTGTGTCCTTTCTCCATACCTATTCCATTTGTATGCTAAGCAAATCATTCAAGACCCTGGACTCTATGAAAAAAGAATGTGGCTTTGAGGATCTGAGGAAGACTCACAAACAAACTGTGTTATGCAGATGACACAACCTTACTTGGTGAAAGTGAGGAGAACTTAAAGTGCTTGTTGCAGAAGATTAAAGACTACAGCCTTCAACCTTGATGACATCTAAGCATCACATCAAGAAAACAAAATCCTCACTATTGGACTGATAAGCAGCAGTAAGATAGATGAAAAAAGATTGGAATAGTCACCTATTTCATTTTACCTACATCCATAGTCAATGTCCTTGTTACCAGTAGTCAGGAAATCAGCATATTTCATTGGGAAAGTCTGCTGTCAGAGACCTCAATTACTGAGGAGCAATGAAATCTATTTGAGGACTAAGGTGTGTCTGATTCAGGCCATGATCTTTTCAATTACTTGCTATACATCTGAGAACTGGACATTGAATAAGGATGACAGAAGATGAATTGATGACTTTGAGTTGTTGTATTGGAGAAGAGTGCTGAATATCCCATGGACTGCCAAAATAACACACAGATATGTCTTGGAGAAAGTGAATCCAGAGTGCTCCTTGGAGGCAAGGATAGCTAAGCTTCATTTCACATAATTTGAGCATAATAGGACAAGCTATTCCTTGAAAAGAGAGATCATTCTTGGAAAGGTGGAGGGTCAGCGAAAGAAAGGAAAATCCCTAAGGAGATGGATTGACACAGTGACTGCAACAATGGGCTCCAAGTGTGTCAGGATGATGAGGATGGCATAGGATAAGACAGGGTTCAGATCTGCTGTTCATAGGGCTGTTCTGCGTCGTACATGATTCAGTGGCACCTCACAACAACCATTACATTTGTGGCAGTGGTGTTGGTAAATTTAATGCCAATATTCCTCCTTTTTCATTTTAAATTGTGATTTGAGTGAAAAGTTTACAAAGCTAATGTGTTTTCCTTTCAACTATTCATATATACGTTTTGGTTTATGACATTAATCACAATACTCACAATGTAACTGAACTCTTCCAGCACCCTACTTGTGGTTCTCTTTTCCATTCATCCTTTATCCACTCATTCATGACTTCTGAGATTTCTGCATAGAGGCTGTTCTTTTGCCTTTATTCATCCTTTGTCAGTATGCATCCTTGAAATTTCTCTTTTTCAAGCAAAACCCATCTTCCTTCAATCTTCCCCAAATCAACCCCTCTCCAGGACCTTAGGAACAACCTTCTAACTGCTCTGCCTGGACCCACCTTGCCCTTTATCACTCTTCCCTTAATCTCTCCATCCACCTGGCTCTCACTGTGCTCCTGGTCCACTTCCTCCATCTTCTGCCATATTCTTCCTGCTTCCCTGTGCACCAGGCCCAGCACATGCCTTCCTGCCTCATGGCCACTATACCTGCTATTCCTACATCATGCTTCTCCCTGGTACTCCTTAAAGCTGAGCTTAAGTTTCCCCTTCTCAGTGGTCGTTCTGGCCACTCCTGTCACTGTCCCCTCATTGCACATCACAACCTGCTCCTTTGTATACTGGCTATCATCTGTTAAAATCGTGAACTCCAAAAGTTGAAATTCCAACAAGTTGGAGTGTACCTCAGTCTCCCCCAGACTTTCAGGACCTGCCGTAAGAACCTATTTGCATGACTCCTTGAATCAGTCAGTCACCTTCTGCCTGCTTTCTATTCTCTGCTGAGGATGAGACCTTGAGGTGCTGTGTGATCTTTCAAGAATTTCTTGCTCCTCTCTTAGCATCAAGGAGATCTGGTGGCATGGTGAATTAAGGCACTGACTCACCACAAGCTGCACTGTGGGAGAAAGATGGGCCTTAGGAATGGGCCTAACCCAGTGGAATGACCCCAAATCAGAAATTACTTGATGGCAGTGGGTTAGTTTGGGTTTTCATTAGCTTCAGTTACTTTCTGTTATCCATGTGTAGAGAGGGCTCTTATTGCCTGGAGATCGTTTTAAGTGTCTGGGAGGACTGAGGTTAAATGTTGGGCTGCTCACCTGAAGGGGATTCAAACCCACAAGCTAGCCCCACCCACAGGAGAAAGAGGAGACTGTCTGCTCTGTAAAACTTTGCAACCTCAGAGGACCTGTGAGGTTATCTGTTCTACAGGATCAGAACCAAGTCAGTAGCATTGGGATGAGCTTTTCATTTCTGGGTTACCTCTCTCTGCATTCCCCATTTGACAGAGAGAGAGAAAGAGAGAATGTGTGTATGTGTATAAAACTCGAGGTGAGAGCTGACACTCCATCCTTCTTGGGCTGCTGGCCTAGAAACCACTCAGACACGTGTTTTTACAACATTTTTAATATATATTTTTATAAACAGGTCACGTGATAAAATAGCACAAGAAACACTTACCAAATATAAGATTATATCTTCCGCATATACAGGAGAATGAGGTCGTTATGTACAATAAGAAAATGATTTCAGGGGTTGGTTGGTTTTGTGGGGTTTTTTTTCCTCTCTCCCCTTAATTTTTAAAATTCTTTTTCCTCCTTACAGTCGTTGGAAATATCACAGCTTCAGTTGCATTAATACTTTGGACAAGGGACAGCTCCCGCTCTCCCCACTAGGGGCGGTGGAGAGGCGGGGCTGAAGAACCTGGCTCCTGACCACTCCAACCCTGGAGGCTCTGGCTGGGCGCTCCAAAGGGCAGGAAAATCTTTGGGCTGTTGAAGCGTTTCTGTACTTCAACAGCATCTCTCTCGCTCACTCTTTCTCTTTCTCTCTCTCTCACTCTCTGGCTCTCTGGAAACTGGTTACGCTCTTCCAACCAGGTTGTGGGGGTTTTGGGGGTGTGGGGAGTGTGGGAAGTGTATCTCTTGGAGCTCAAGGATGGGATGGAAAGGGGTCCCAGCCCCCTCCTCAGTAATTGCCAAGATGTGCCAGCATCCCTTCCAAGTGTCTTGGAAACGGACAGAACATGGCCAAAGCCCATTTGGGCAGGCAGAGGATTGGGAAGCTGGGAGGGATGGGGGGCGGGGGGGGGGCTAGCTATGAGCTTCTGGAAGGTCGGGGTCGCTGGCTGGTTCTGTTTCTCCTGCTTTGGCTGGAGGCCCCACTTCTCTAAACTCCAGGTGAAGCCCTGGTACTGAGAGGCCTGGGCGATCAGAATCCAGGGGCTGAAGTGTGGGGTCAGTCGGGACTGTTTCCTCGGCCCACGGTCCCTGAAGTATCAGCCCCAAGTCAGGTCTCTTTCATGGCTGGAGGCGCTGGCTGGACTGATACTGTTAATTCCCAGGTCATGACTACTCAGCCAGCTTGCCACTCTCTCTCTCAGCTCAAATCTGCCCATTTTGGCCAGGGCCCAAAGACAGGAAGGCTAGGGATGGGATGGTGGGAGGAGGGAGGCCCGCTCAGGCCATGCCAGCCTGGCGTGTGGAGAGGGGGATAAGCTTGGGCTCCTCAGGGGGCCATGGCTTTGGCGCCTGTAAATCCCTGGCACTCCTCGGAGGGTTCCAGGCGCAGTGGAAAAAGGCGGAAGCTCGGAGGCCCTTTAGGGGGGGCCGTGTCCTGGGAAACCCAGCCCCCTCGGTCTCCGGGGAACCTACCCAGGATGGAGGCGCAGCGGGGAGACAGAGCACGGGGTGTTTGTTGGAGGGGGAAGGCAGTATGGGCGGCGTCTGGTGAGCTCAAAGCGCGCCCCCAGGGCCAACCCCGGCCCCTCAGGGGGTGGGCGAGTGATGGCGGCGGCGGTGGCATGGGGGAGGGCGGGCGTGCAGTGCGGGCACGTGGGGGCATGCACAAGGTCCCCGAGTGTGCGTGCGTGCGTGGGGCTGGCCCCGCCGCCCCTCTCTGCCCAGGACGGGGCCTGGAGAGGCATGTAGAAGGCGGGGCATGGGGCGGGGTTCCCCCGAGTGCAGGACCAGGAGATGGGGCTCAGGGGGCCCCACGCCCCCACCCAGAACATGGCCAGCTTCCCGAGATGGGGGCGGGCGGGGCCCCACGCTACTCGATGACGAGGCAGCGGGGCAGGTGTTGTGAGAAGTACTTGAAGAGCTCAGGCGTTGCCCCAGGGCAGTTGGTCAGCTCCAGCTCCTCCAGCTCTTGCAGCTGTACCAGGCCTGACAGCCCCGTGGTGGTCAGCAGTGGGCAACCTGTTGGCGGGCGGGCAGGGTCAGCTGAGACTGGGTGGAACCAGGGGCGGGGTGGGGACTTGGGGGCTGAGCCTGAAAGAAACAGGCAGGGACAGAGGGTAGGGCTGAGCCTGAAGAGCTGAGAGACCCTGAGACCTTGTCAGTCTGCACAAGTATGAATTTGCATGAGACACCCCGTTGTTGGTGTACGGACTACAGTCTCACCTGCCAGAGACAAGAGCCGCAAACTCCTCATGGCCAGCAGGTGCTTCAGTCCGAAGTCCTGCACCTAGGTGAGAAAAGAGGGAGTTTCTGCTTCAGCCAGGGGGGACCCCCTCAAGAAACCTCCCCACTCTTCCCTGCCTCTGGGTTCAGATCGTAGTCCTATGAGATGGGCAGAAGGTGAGGCTAATAAGGGGCCTTCCTTATCCCCCTAACCCACACAGGCCTGGAGGCAGCTAGGGAGTGCCAGACAGAAGTCCCGTTGGAGGAGTCGCTGGCTGCGGAAGGATACTAGATTTCCCTAGCGTGAATGAGCAAGGGAGCACGTCAGCAGAGTGTCCTGCTGGCTCTACCTACTGTCTTCATGTCCCCCAGATCCTCCCCACTTTATGGAGGCGGTACCTGGCAGCACCATCGCAGGTAGAGGCTACGGAGGGACGACATGGTGGACAAGTAGCTGAGACCAGTGTCTGTGATGCGAACGCACCTGTGGGTGGACCAGATAGGGCACTGCCAGAGGACACCGACCACACCTCTAGCTCTGTCCCTCTTTCTCCTGACCGCCCCTGACGTGAATTCTTCCCCTGACCGCCCCACAATAGCTCTTCCCTTTTCATAGTCCATCCCAGGTATGGCCCACCCCCCGTCCTGAGCCAAGGACCACCAATTCAGCCCACTCTTGCTAGAACCCTGCGCACTAGTCCCAGGCCATCTGCTAGATAACCCCGCCCATACAGCATGCCCCGACCAGGCCCCACCCCCGAGCTGGTCACGGCCCCGCCCACTCTACGCTGAGCTCGGCGTGCACGGCACAGGCACTGCCTCCTTCACACGTGTGTGCGGCGCACCTGTCAAGTACGAGCTCCTCCAGCCGGTGCAGGTCGCAGGCCACGTACTCAAGCGCCATGTCGGTGATGCGCGGGCACCAAGAGAGATCGAGGCTGCGCAGTTTGCGCAGGTTCTCGGCCACAAGCTCCACGCCATCGTCGGTGACCTTGGAGCAGCCCGAGAGGCTGAGCGCTGTGAGGTTGGGCAAGCTGTGCACCACGTTGACCACGCCGTGGTTGGTGATCTCCCAGCAGGACAGCAGGCGCAGTGTGTGCGTGCTGTGGCCCTGGCGCGCCGTGAAATAAGCCAGCGCCGTGTCCGTCACGTGGTAGGCCTGCAGGCTCAGCTCGGCCAGGTTGGGCAGTAGCTGCGAAATGGCTGCGATGGCGTCGTCTGCCACGTTGATGCAGTCGCTCACGCTCAGCGAGGTGATGCGTGCGCTCAGGCTGGACCACAGCCCCGCCTCGGTGAAGTCGTTGCAGCCAGACAGCTCCAGTCGGACCACACCCTGCATCTGCTCCAGCATGACCTGTGAGCGGGTGGGCGATGGCGTCAGGGGGACAGAAAGCCTTAATCTCTCTTTCCCCTCTCCATGCGGCTTGATTTCCCCAGGGGAGTGCGCCCCCTAGTGCCCATGAGGCTGAAGGAGCCAGAAAGAGCCGACTACGAGTAGTCTCTAGTCTCGCAGTAGATGTTCTAAGTGTTTATGTGGAGCTGACCTCTGAGCCTTCGCAGTGCTAGACCCCAAAGGGCCCTGGTGGCGCGGTGGGTAAAGGCTAGGCTGCTAACCAGAAGAGAAGCTCTGTGGAACAAAAGACCTGGAAATAATCTCTCGACCCAAGCTCAAACTTACTACTGTCCATTCAGGACCTACTCACAGCTGACCTTACAGCGGGTTTTCTGCGACTGTACATCACAGAGAGGGGACTGCCCATCTTTTTCTGCGGGAGCCTCTGATGGATTCAAACCTTCAGCGAAGTGCTGCTTTGGGTTAGCAGCATAATTCCACCAGAGGCCTCCCCCCATAAAAACGGTTGTTGTTGTAATCAAGTCACTATGACTCATAGCAACCCTATGAACAACTGATAAAAATCCTGCCATCTTCACGATCTCTGATATACCATTGGTAGCAGTTACCATCTCGTTGAGGGTCTTTTTCTCTGACCATGATGTCCAACCATGAGGTCTTTTTTTCAAGGATTAGCTGCACCTAACAACATGACCAAAGCATGTGAGCTTCATTATCCTTCTCTCCAGGGAGCATTCTGGTTGCAATTTCTCCAAGACAAGTTTGTTCTTTTGGTCATCCATAGGATGGGTTGTTGTTTTTATTGCATACCATTAAGTCGGAACTAGCCCATAGATGACCCGCTGATGGGTTTTCAGAGGTAGTTAATTGCAAGGGAGGAGACTGCCCATGTTTCTGCAGTTCAAGCTGGTGGATTCGAACCACACGCCTTCAAGACTGCAGTGCAGCTCTTGCCACTAAGCCATCAGAGCTCCCTATGGGACAGGTTTTGTTGTTGTTGTTGTTAGGTGCCATCAAGTCGAGTATAACTCTTAGCGACCCTATGAACAAAAGATGTGAACTCTGCTCTATCCTGTGCCATCCTTACACTTCCTGACACACAAGAGCCCACTGTAGCAGTCACCATGTCAGTCCATCTAGTTGAGGGTCTTCCTCTCCTTTGCTGCCCTTCCACCCTTCCCAGCATCATGTCCTTCTCCAAGGAACAGCACCTTCTAGCAACATGCCCAAAGTATGTGAGGCAAAGGCTCATCATTCTTGCCTCTAAAGAGCACTCCAGCTATATGTACCCTGTCCAAGATATAAGTTTGTTCTCTTTGCCATCCACAGGGTGTTCAGTGCTATTCTCCAACATCATAGCTCAAAGGCGTTAATTCTGTCATCCTTAGTCATTGTCCAAGTCTCAGATGCATAGCAAGTAATTCAGAAAGACCATGGCCTGAATCAGATACACCTTAGTCCTCAAACTGCATAATTTCTCCCCAACAATTTGGAGAAGTCCCTAACTGCAGATTTTCCTATTGCAATGTGTCTCCTTATTTCCTGACTGCTTAGTACCAAGGATGTTAATTGTGGATCCTAGCAAGGTGAAGTTGTTGACAGTTTCAATCTCCTCTCCATCTATCATGACACTGCCTATGGGGGGTCCAGTGATAAGAATCTTTGTTTTCTTGACATTGAGATGCAGTCCATTACTGAAGGCTGAATTAATTGATCTGCAACAAGTGCCTCAAATCCTCCTTATTTTCAGCAAGCAAGATTGTGTTATCTGCATAACATGGTTATTGATGAGTTTCCCTCCAATCCTGATGCCACACTCCTCCTCATAAAGTCCGGCTTCAGCAATACTATAACCAAAAGGCATAGACTCTTCTGCCATCCTTAGTCATTATCCAGCTTGCAAGTAATTGTAAAGACCATAGCTTGAATCAGATGCAACTAAGTCTTTGCTTTTCAGCACTTTGAAGATGTCCCTGATGCCAGATTTTCCCAATGTTTCACATATTTTTTTAATTTCTTGAATGTTGGTACCAAGAGTATTGATTGTAGATTTAAGTAAGATGAAATCATGAATAGTTTCAATGTTTTCTCCTTCTATCACTGAGTTAATCCATCTCATCCAGGGTCTTCCTCTCCTGCGCTGTCCCTCCACCGTCCCAAGCATGATGTCCCTCTCCAACGACTGGTCCCTCCCTGTAACATGCTCAAAATATGTTAGATGGAGCTTCAGAATTCATGCCTCTCAGGAGCAGCCTTGTTTCACCCTCTCCAGGATGAATCTGTTCTCCTAGCAGTCCATAGAATATCCAATACTCTTATCCAGCACAACTCAAAAGCATCAATTCTCCTTCTGTCATCTGTAGTCATTGTTCAGCTTTCTGATGCATAACAAGTAATTGTAGACCATGGTCTGGATCATGTGCACCTTAGACTTCAAACTGACATTGTTGCTCTTTAGAACTCTTGAGAGGTCCCTGGCAGCAGATTTTCCCAATGCAATTAATCTTTTCATTTCCTGGCTGCTGGTATGAATGTTGATTATGGAGCCAAACAAACTGAAGCTGTAAACAATCTCAATCTTTTCACCATCTATCATGGTGCTGCCAATCAGCCTAGTGGATAGAATCTTTGTTTTCTTGATATTGAGCTTCAATCAATATTGAAGGCTGCAGTCCTTGACCTTCTGCTGCAAATGCCTCAGGTCCTCCTCAGTTTCGGCAAGAAAGGTTGTGTCATTTTTATATCGCAGTATGTGTCATCTGCATAACACAGGTTGTTGATGACTGTTTCTCCAATTCCTCCTCATAAAGTCCAACCTCCTGGATGATCTATTCTGCATATATATTGAAACGGTATGGAGATAGGATGCATCCCTGGTATACACCTTTCCTGATTTTTGAACATGCAGTGTTTCTTTGCACTTTTCTGATGAATGTCTCCTGGTAAAAGTACAGGTTTTGCATATGCACAATCAAGTGTTCTGGGATTCCTATTCTTCTCAGAGTCAGCCACAGTTTGTTGGGACCCACACAGACAAATATCTCTACATAGTCAGTGAAACATAGATAGACATTCCTCTGATGCTTTCCGCTTTCAGCCAAGATCCATCTAACATTGGCTATAATATCCCTAGAGCCACGGGCTCTTCTAAACCCAGCCTGCACAGATGGCAGGTTTTTTGGTTTATTTTTTTTTTATAAATTTCAGCAGGATCTTGCTTGAATGTGATATTAATGATATTATTCAATAATTTCTTCACTCTGTGAGGTCACCTTTCTTTTTTTGGAATGGGAAAAATATGGATCTCCTCCAGTCAGTTGGCCAGGTGGTTGTCCTCCAGATTTCTTGCCACAACTTGGTGAGTATGATCACAATTAAGTGTTCTAGGCTTCTCATTCTTCTCAGTATTAAGCCATAATTTGTTGTGATCCACACAGTCAAATGCCTTTGCATACATAGTCAATGAAACACAGATAGACATCCTTCTGGTATTTTCTGCTTTCAGCCAAGATCCATCTGACATCAGCAGTGATATCCCTGGTGCCACAGCCTCTTCTAAACTCAATTTGAATTTCTGGCAGTTCTCTCTTGTACTATTCTAGTAGATTTTCTTTTTAATTATTCATTCATTTATTGTTGCACATTTTCCCTCCCCCTTGTTCCCCTCTCCCCCAGTTCACTTTGCAATGCATCTTTTGTTCAAATTGTGGTCATATGTATAATATGTTGTTGTTATATGCCGTCAAGTTGCCTGCAATTCATAGCGACCCTATGTACAACAGCCCAAAACCCTCCTCTTTCCTGTGCCAATCTCACTGTCTCTGACACACCTACCCAATTACCCCAGTCACTGAATCAATCCACCTCATAAAGGGTCTTCCTCTCCTGCACTGTCCCTCCACCCTCCTAAGCATGACATTCTTCTCCAACAACTGGTCCCTCCTTGCAACATGTCCAAAGTATGTCAGACAAAGCTTTAGAATACTTGCCTCCAAGGAGCAGCCTGGTTTAACCCTCTCCAGGATGAATCTGTTTGTTCTCTTAGCAGTCCATGGTATAGTCAATACTCTTTTCCAGCACCACAGCTCAATTCTCATCAAAGGCATCAATTCTCCTTCTATCCTCCCTCCCTAAACATTGTCCAGGTCTCTGATACATAGCAAATGATTGCAAAGACCATGGCCTGTATCAGATGCACCTTATTCTCCAGAGTGACGCCATTGTTCTTCCCCCATCTTATCTATTTCACTCAGTGTAATGTTTTCCAGGCTCACTCATGTTGTATAATGTTTTATGAGTTTCTTTTCCTTGCAAGTTGTGTAATATATTATTGTTTGAATGTACCATGTTTTTTCTATTCATTGATTTGTTAATGGGCATTTGAGTTGCTGCTATCTCTTCGCTATTGTGAATCACACAGCAATAAACGTCCTAAGCATACATCCGTTTGAGTCGTGACTCTGGTTTATTTACAGTTTATTCCCAGTAGTGGAATCCCTGAATCAAATGGTATTTCTATTTCCAACTTTTTTGAGGAAGCTCCAGACTGCCTTCCATAGTGAATAAGAGTTCCAATCTCTCCCCAACCTCATCAGCATTTGTTGTTTGCTGCACTATTGAACTTCACTATTGTTGCTGGAGTATTCTAGTAGTGTTAAAACAATCTTCAAAAAAACGTTTCTTTTGGCGAGCTCTGGTGGCCTAGTGGCAGGAAGCTGCACTGCAATCCTGCAGGTCTGTGGTTCAAATCCACCAGATGCTCTGCTGAAGAAGGAGGAACAATCTCCTCCTGTACCAGTCAGATCTGATTTGAC